AACCATCTGAGACAGTGGCTGCTTCTGAACATTATTTGCCAGTTGCACAATTTAAATATGCATCTTCTGAATAGTATTTCTTCTGCCAAATCCTAATCTTCTGACATCATACAATTTGAAAGTGGAAAGCTCAGGCAAAGTTACTCCCAAATTCTTGCAACCACATTAAGAGCTGGGATAACGGTCTCAGCATAGCTGCAGTGCCAGTGGGATGTCACAGGGACACATCCTGGGCATCAGGATTGGTACATTTTATTTGCTGACCCAGCAATCTTTGGGACTATGCTGTTAACAAACAAGGTGTACCGTTCCTCAACAATCTTCCCCTTTCAGCCTAGGAAACTTTTCTCAAGTCTCAGGCCGAATTTTCCCCCTCCCCATGCTGAACCTGGCAGCTGCCGTTGACACAGTGAACTACAGCCCCAGAGTTCCCCAGCCCGGCCTCTTTCTAAAAATAGCACTTCTCACCCAGATGCATGGAAAAAATGGTGGGGCCAGCCAGATCAGACTGTAGGCATGGAAAGACAGCAGCAGTTCCCAGAGGTACCCTCTATTTTCTACTCAACGGTTCCTTAATGCCCCTTGGCACCCATTTGGATGAGCTCAAGAGCTTTGGCTTCTTAAGGTAGTAAAACACACGTCACTAATCAATCAAAGCAAAGTTCAACAGGAATTCTCTCGTACCTTCCCCATGGAAAATGATAGAAGCTCCCACTAATTTCAAGAAAACTCTATAAATAAGATGTGGTCCATAGGTCAGGGCTATCTACTTACTCAGTGGTACCTCAAACCCCTCTAGACATCTCCAAAACAGTCTTACAGACTGGATTTACGTATCACACCAAACCATGATTTGTCTAATTGTATTTTGTTCATCATTCCAAAAGTAGCTAGTTTCTCACAGCACATGAAGCAAAGATCAAACAAACTACATTAAGTGGTACTACTCCCAGATCTGGAATGCAGGCTTTTTGGTTCAGCCTACACAATAGGTCATAATGCTTGATTAAAGCACTAGTTAGATTCTCAATACTTCAATAAAACCTAGGAACTGTTGGATCACTACTTCCCCTAATGTGACTGCAAGATTTAATATGGGTTTACAATTGAGCAAGCTCTTAAATTAATCTCTGGAACTAAATGGTACTGGTTGTTTATAGTGAGGCAAATAATTATAATACCGTACAAGAATAAATATGATTCAATTCATAAAAATACAAAGCCACTGATCGTTTAAAAATTGTTCCCTGAATAAATCAGTACTGGCAAGGTTCACACAACACATTAAATCAACCTTTGTTTTCATTGCTTGGGGACTCAGCATATTAAGTGAACTCAACTAAGATTAAAAACAATAGCACTACATCACAAACCTACTTCTCTCTCTTCAAAAGCAAGCTCTCTTTAACTTATACTCTTCACAGGTAACTATAAGATTCCAGCCTCAACATTATTCAATTAAAATTTAATCCCACATTCCTTGATACACCTCAGTTCACTTACATGAGGCATTAGCTGAACTGCTGAAACACACATATTTAAGTTTGATTTAAAACTCTGGGGTGTTCTCTTCATCAAACTATGCATTTTTAAATAAACATGAGACTTTTTTTAGGGCCTGAAGCAGATTTTCTTTTCCCATCGATTTTTGTTCTAATCCGCTTGAAGATCAGAGAAAACATTAGAGGTGAGCAACAAGGTAAGCATCTTTTCTCCCCTTTCTCCTTAGAAAGCTCCTTAGACATGTCCCTTCCTCTGAGCCAACCAGCATCAAGTTCTTCAGACCACATGCATCTCCACAGCAGAAGCTAGAAGGCCTGGGCCTTTTGGCCTCATCCTAAACCAGGCTCTGGCCCCCAGATAGTCCCCCTGCGGCTTTGCCTGGAGCCAGGATGTGGCTTTGTTTTTATGTCAACCAAGCAGTTCCTCAAAGCTTTGTATGAAAGGAGGATAAGGGAGGAGATCAGAAATGCAGTTACTGATACTGGAATGGGGGAAAGAGTCGAATCAGGGGACAAAGATGGTTAGCACCTAATCAAACAGCATGCCAGTTGCTCCTGCAGGAATGTAAAAAAAGCCTATAAACAATCATTACTTATACAGCTGTCCCTTCCCCATTGTAAATTGCCTTCCTACAACTTCATTTGCCAATTCCATACAGCAAATGTCCTGTGTCTCTCACAACATTCTTTTGCACCTCCCAAACTGCTCTACATGTACTACAGCAGATCACACTCCCAACCAATGCAGTCTGGGAGAGCAAACACATCTGGAGGTGCCAAGTTGGGACAATCTGGACTAGCTCTTAAGGAGCAAAAGATTTCCAACACACTTCCTGTTAAGCAAGACATTTTGCATCCAAGCCATGCCAGTCAGCCACCCACTTGTAGAAGCAACAAACCCAGGCTTCCTTTGTGGCTGAAAACCTGGACTGCAAAATGGAACTGATGCACATATAGGCAGAACCTTTAAACTGGGTTCCAGCTGAAGTGAACAGACCTGATTAAGATCTCTTTAATCATCATCATCATCATTTATCCTTCCTAACATAGTGGAGAATACTTAGCCTGAAAGGTGAGAGTGAGGGACAGAAGCACACCAGCAGACCCTTATTCTCTCCCAGCTGTAAGGACCCTTCTGTTTGCAACTATGTAGAATTTATGACACTACACTGCCACCCAGCAATTTGGGCCTAGAACACTGAGGGCAACTGACACCACAATCTTATTTATGGCAGCTTTAGGTCTTCAGCCCACTGGTTGCTGAAGGAAAAAGGTCTACAATTTCAAAGCTCAGAGTGCGGAAAGCCAAGATTCCTGGGTTGTTGTTTTTTTCCTCAGCCCAAAAACAAAAGAAGAGCCTAGTAGCTAGATCGTGGTCTGGAAAGATTAAAAAAGAAGGAACGGAGAGAATACACTAACTGTTGTTGCAGTACTAGAGATTGTATATTTTTTAACATTGGAAGGAACAAACCAGGGCCTTAATCCAAGCCATATTGGCTTTATAGATGAAAAGCTTGTTGGGTTTGTATGGTTTCTCTTCACAGTGGCAGGACCCACCCCATGCCTTTGCAGTCTTGCCAGGTGTTGGTTGAGGCACAGGGGGAGGGAAAAAAAGAGAAAGACACAAAGCTTACTCTGGCCTGAATCAACAAAGGAAAGGGGCGGAGATGGAAAAGGTTTGCCCCATCTCAGAGAAAAAACCAGGGCCAGAAAGGCTCCACTGTGTATCCCATTTCATCTCCCCCACCCCTTAGAGTTATGCTCTGAAGCCAACTCTGTAGGCCTCCATTCAGTTCTAGCCAGGAGGAAGCACTGTCTCTGTTAAGGCCTGATGCCTGGTATCATAATCAAGAATGCTTAAAAGCAAGGCTGGTGTAGGTTCCCTATCCCAATTATTATGAAGGAAGGGGGGGGGGAGAGAGAGAGAGAGAGAGACAAGATACCTTATTCTCAAGTCACAGTTTCTGTACCTGAGATATGCCTACCGGTATGTGTGTTTCACAGCTTTTTGCAGGCCACACAATGCTTCTAAGAATATCAGACTTGCAAGGGTGACTCAAATGTGTCAATATCTCCTGTGAGATTCTTCACATCAATGGAGGTGTGGGGAGAAAAGAGACACCAACCTGCACATTTGCACCTTGATTGGGAGCAGTTTGGCATCTGACTCAGAAGATACAGCATAAAAATCCCATTAAGCTAAATAATGTACAGTACATGAACATATGATTAATTCCTCTGTAAGCTTTTAACATGGTTAAAAGCTCTGAATTTTTCTGCATCTGTTTGCATGGATGCTAATCCATAGTTTACTCACTTATCCAAGTTTTCTGCATTCATATGGGTAAACCACAAGTTAGCCATACAGTTGTCTTGTCACAATGCTTTCACTACACAGTGATTGGCTTTTTACAGTTCAGCATGTCATGTGAACACAGCCAGAGAACAAAGTGGCAAGGAGTTCCACTGATGCAATTTACATAATCCCAATATAAATATTCCAGATATAGAAACTTTGGCAACAAGTTGTCTCCAAGATCATTCAATAGCACCAAGTTCAATTGCCTGGCTATGGAGCTAATTGCCTGCGAAAGGGTGGAAGAGAGGAGATAAATGAATTGCATATGAAATCAAAGCAGTTCTGTTTTCCTCAGCTGTGTTAAAAAAAATCCTGGGATTAGAGAGTGCTGAAGCTAATATTCCTGCAAACATCTCTTTTCTGAACCTCCTCCATTTCAATTTAACTGCCATGTCTCTTTGTTCCGAAAGCTGCCTGCAGTTTTAGGGATTTGAAAAGCAAAATGGCAGGATTGTAAAAAAAAAAAAAAAAAGAAAGAAAAAACAGGGGAGGGGGAAACTTTCAGAATGAAAGGCCAAGCTAACTACCCTAAGAGGAGGTGGAAAATAGGACACAGGAGAAGCAGGAGCTTCTATTGTAAGCACTTTGGGGCAGGAGTCTAAAACGGAATGTCTCATTTTTTAACCCTATTACCTACAACGATGGAATTATTTTAAACACAGCATTGCTTTTGCTCCCTCCCCGGCATAAGGAAAGAAAACTCCCCTCCCCACACCACTTTTTTTTTTAATCTACTTTAACTCAAAGCTGCTACAAATTACGAAAATGAAATTCCACCGCACTTTTATCTTTAGCTTTCGTGTTGCAGACACCCAAATAATCTTCGCCAGATTCCACGTATTTTTCTTTTTCCAAAGAAAACAATGTCTTTTTCAATTCATTGATCTAACGTGGGATCCCTCTCCCCCAACTGCAGAAGAAAACCCGAGATCCTTCTGGGATACAGGCACTCTCGCCTTTAACCATTAGGCATTAGTTCCCTTTGCTAAAGATGACTATCGAAACCAAGCATTTATTTTACAGTACGACTGTACCCGTCTTCGCTCGGCGTCAAGGAGCAACTGCTGCTTTTATTTGTTACCCCAAAGCACATAAGCCGTCGCCCCAAGAAACACCCTTCCCAGTCCTCTGGCGCTTACCAGCTCGGATTTGGGGCGAAGTAGTCGCTCCCCCTTCGATGTGATAGGAGAACCTCATGGCTTTGAATTGCTGGGAATATGATCCACTGGGTTCCGGACTGGGCATCCCCATCACGCTGGCTCTCTGCATGTCTGCACTGCCACCCCCTCCCTCCCTTCTTCAGTCCCCTCCAAAATCCCCCCGCGATCGACCCCCAAACGCCAGGCTGCTTGAAGTCTCCATCAAATTGCCCCGACCTCCTTCAGAAAGGATCTGGATTCGACCTACTAGGACGTCGCTGGAGCCGGGAAGGGGAAGCGATCGGGGTGGGGGAAGGCGCGGGAAGGAGACGAGGAACCCAGTGGATTGATTTCGTTGCTTTCTAAGACAGATCTTTGCAACAAGTCGGCACAGCTCTTGCAGGAAGTGTCGCCCTGGCCAGGCAGGAATGTATCAGAAAGCTTGAAGCTTATCCACGTTGGAGCGTCTGCTAAGTCCTTCGCTCTCCCACTCCCCTCGCTTCTTCCTCCTCCTCTCCTCCTCCTCCTCCCGCCGCGCTCTCTCCACACCGACTCCTCGCTGAGTGGGTTGGCTTTTTCGTACTGCAGCGCCAGGCGTTGAGAGACGAGTACTTGCAAGCAGATTTCAATCCTAGCTTTTCGGGTCTTGGCTTTTCTTTCTCGTAACTGGATAGAAATGGGATTTCGTTAGCCCCACACAGCCATGAATATCTCTTGGCTTTTACCGCCTCCCCGAGGAGGAGAGTATTGGGTTCTCTCCCCCCCCCACTCCTTCCTATCCGCGAGGATATTGACAAAAGTCTGAAAAAGAGGAGGTGTTGGCAATTTATGGAGGGTTGGGCTAACAGCTGTTGTTGGGAGAGAAAAAATCAGCTCGTTTTGAACTCGGCTTACTTGGAGGTTATTGGGTTTTTTCCCCTTCCTTTCTCTGTATTGAACCGCCTTTTTTTTAAGCCTTGGGTAAGGCAAAAGGCAAACTTTGATCTCTGATAGCATTTAAAAGAAGTGCACATTTTAAATATTTTGCGTGTCTGCAGATTATTACTATTATCCACCAAAACTGCAGGACAAACCCACTGCAGGACAAAGGTCTCTGCGTTGAAGGTTATGGACCATAATCCACCATGCTGGTTGGTCCAATGTGGGTTAGTAGGTTTATGGTTTCCAACTTCCCGCTGACTGGCCCAAAGTTACCCAGCCAGCTTCTCTGCCCAAAGGGGAGCTAAGACCTGGTCTCTCCACTTCTAGTCCAGCAGTTGAACCACTACGCCATACTGGTGTTCTGCTTATATACACAAATATCCATATGGAATGGATGTATTCATTTATTTCTAACCTCATAGCTGGAATTCAGGAGTTTATCCTTCTCTCCTTTCTGAACTTTTCCAGTCTTCTCCAAAATGTTAAATCCTTCCTTTCTCAATCTTGAACCAGTCATGCAGTTTTCATAATATGCATGGGTTTTTTGGTTCCTCTTTCAAGTAAGGTTCAAACTGTAAACAAGCCAAGATCAGATGTTTACTAAGTACTTTTACTTGTGTCTACATCAGGACTGGAATCTCTTGGAATTTTTCTTTCTCAAGTATTTCAAAGAAATTTCACAATTCTCAATGTTTTCGACTCCTGTTGTCAGTTTTGACTTGTTTTTCCTCAAACCAGCTCCCAATATTAAACAGAGTAATAACAATGATAGCAGAGCTTGATAGGGATTGTACGGCCTTGAAATCATATTTGTGTCTGTTTCAAATTAATTTCCCTAACCTGAGGAGGAATAAAAGTCAATGCTTATTTTAAAAACTAGCAAAAAAAAGGTAACAAAATGCCTTTAGGTACATATACACCCACCTACCCACCATTTTCTGCTTTTCACAGGATGGAGAAAAAACGCAAAAATATGCTTGCAAACCACTACAGCTGTGCTCAGTCTAAACAATGTAAAGGCACAGAACATGGTTTTTGCCAAGCCAGAAGCTACATGAGAAAAAGCAGCTTTTTCCCCATCTAAACAACATGATATTAAAACAGCTACTCTTGATTTCTTTTGCTCTTTTTCTCACCAGCAGAAATCATCCTTGAAAATGATTTCCTGGTTTGGCTTTTCAGGATTTAGCTATCCCATAATAGCTCTGGTTATGACTATAAGAACACATTGAACCTCACTCATGAACCACATTCTACGCTTGCATGTTGCACAAACACAGCCTCATCACATCTCTTCCACCGAGTTTCAAAATTCTGTTGAGCTCTGCACACTGAACCGTTTGCTCCCTACTCCCTTCTGATCCATCCTGCTATCATCTTTAGGTAATTAACGGTGGCCTTCATTGCCACAAAATGTGAGGGTGCTAGCCACTAACATGGTTGGGTTTAAAGCAGTGGTGAAATCCAAATTTTTTTACTACTGGTTCTGTGTGCATGGCTTGGTGGGCATGGCTTGGCTTGGTGGGCATGGCAGGGGAAGGATACTGCAAAATCTCCATTCCCACCCCACTCTGGGGCCAGCCAGAGGTGGTATCTGAACTACTCAAAATTTCCGCTATCAGTTCTCCGAACTGCTGAAAATTTCCACTACCGGTTCTCCAGAACCTGTCAGAACCTCCTGGATTTCACCCCTGGTTTAAAGGGTTTGGATAAATTCAGAGAGAGCAGGAAGTCAATCAAGGGCTGCTAGGATGAAGACTCCACTGAGAGTTGGGGTCTCAGAAATATGCTTCCAATATCGATTGTAGGAGAACCAAGTATCTTCCACATCATTTGTGATTGCCCCAGAAGCACGAGAAACAAAATGGTGGACTAGGATGGGCCTTGGTCTGATCCTGCAGCACTATTCTTATGTTCTTTACACTGTCCCTGGCAAATTTTAGCTCAAAACCACTTCAGAAAGGATGGCAAACTAATGCAGCTTATAGTTTACTGATATGGACTGCACAACAAGCCAAAGTATGCCTCCTCTAATCATATTTAACTAAATAAACCTTAATCAGTTGGGTTCTCACTACATACTAAGGCAGTGATGGCAAAGGGAACACTTCGCTAGTCAGGGCCGCGACCAGGAAGAGGAGCTGCCCAAGGAGCTGCACATGCCGGATAAGGTACTTCTGGTTTCCAGCGTATGCATGCGCGCTGGCCAGCAAGTCTTCCAGTTACTGCCACGCATGTGCACACACTGATCAGCTGGCTGGTGCGCATACTCAAGCCGGAAAATGGAAGACCAGCTCTCCCGGTTTCCATCACTGCCGCATGCACAAAGGCCAGCTGATCGTCGTGTCCTCATGCGTGCCAGAAACCTGGAAGAGGAATGGGCAACGCCGTGCATTACAGGCAACATGGCTCCTTGTGCCACTTCAGCCACACATGCCATAGGTTCGTCATCACGATGCTAAGGAATAAATAATGTTTATTCTGGCCGAGAGCTGCATTGTTTCCCTTCTTTTCCCCAATGTCTCATGGATCCATGAAATCACAAATTGTGAGTAAGGCTGAATTTTTCCATTTGTTTTCTAGTTTGTTTAGCAAGCATATCCATGCTAGTATCTTATATCCAGGGCCGGATTTTCCTATAGGCTAACTAGGCTTCAGCCTAGGGCCTCAAGATCAAGAGGGGCCTACATTCCCTACATTCAAATTGTTAGCAAAATTAAAATTACACTTTCACTATAGGTGAAAGGGCCTCATAAGTGGAATAGCCTAGGGCCTCTTTTCATCTAAATCCGGCCCTGCTTATATCCCATTATATATCCCTTAACTAAAGTTTGTGGTTTACAGTGTTGTATGAATCTAAAACAGCCACTCTTGGAAGTTTGGCTAGATAAGATTTACTTACTAAAAAAAATTATTTAAGTGTTTTGTATAAATGCACTTTTATGTTAGGACTGCAGGTCTAGGTTGCAAATATTACCCAACTGTTAGATGCAAGCTGTGAAGTAGAATTTTGTATATCCCTTTGTAGTACTGCTATGCTTTGCAGTTCAGCAACCCCACTTTGCACACAGATCTAGAAATAATATCTAGGTTCACACATTGTGCTAAATTATATTATAATTTACCTGCTTTGAGTCCTGTGTATGAAAGACCCTAAAAACAAATGTTTAAAACATAGTTTATGCCATATTTTGTTGTATAAAACTGATTGATTCTAGTTTTGAACAAATCATAATTAAGCATGGCATTGCACTTAGTGTGAATCCAATCTCTGAGTGCTTCTATGATACACTGAAGTATTGTGCTGTAAAGAATTAACAAGCACACACTAACTTATCTCTATTCTGTCTGACTCATTGATCAGAGATGGAAATTGACCTGTAGCCATCTATGTTTTGTAAGCTGCAGCATCTGGTTCAAACTCCAGTTTCTGCAAAGCAAATTGACAGTACTAACCAGTTCTAAGATTCACATAACATACAGGTAGTCCTCGACTTATGACCATAATTGAGCCCCAAAATTTCTGTTGCTACGTGAGACATTTGTTACATGAATTTTGCCCCATTTCACAACCTTTCTTGTCACAGTTGTTAAGTGAATCACTACAGTTGTTGAGTTATGTCACAGTTGTTAAGTGAATCTGGCTTCCCCATTGACTTTGCTTTCATAAGGTCACAAAAAGTGACTTTATGAAAGGAAACTGCAATCGTCATAAATATAATAATAATAATAATAATTTTATTTCTATACCGCCCTTCTCCCGAAGGACTCAGGGCAGTGTACAGCCAATTTAAAAACACAAGACACAACAATGATTAAAATTTAAAATAATTAAATAGATTTGGCAGGTTTAAAACCCCAAAAAATTTAGAATACCCCAATTTAAAATCATTATGTTGATAGCCCGGTCTGGCGGAACAACAGGGTCTTCAATGCGCAACGAAACACCCGGAGGTTGGAGATCTTACATATTTCCGGGGGCAGTTCATTCCACAGGGCTGGGGCTCCCACAGAGAAGGCCCTCCCCCTGGGTGTCGCCAGCCGACATAACTTGGCCGATGGCACCCTGAGGAAACCCTCTCTGTGGGAGCGAACTGGCCGGTGGGAGGCTATTGGTGGCAGAAGTCGGTCTCGAAGGTACCCGGGTCCTATGCCATGGAGCGCTTTAAGGGTGGTAACCAGCACCTTGAATCGCACTCGGAAGACCACTGGGAACCAGTGCAGCTCGCGCAGGAGGGGTGTCACACGGGCACAATGAGTTGCGCCCATAACCACCCGCGCAGCCGCATTCTGGACCAGTTGGAGCCTCCGAGTGCTCTTCAAGGGGAGCCCCATGTAGAGAGCATTACAATAGTCCAGCCGGGAGGTGACAAGGGCATGAGTGACCGTGCGCAAGGCGTCCTGGTCCAGAAAGGGCTGCAACTGGCGAATCAGGCGAACCTGATAAAAGGCCCCCCTGGCCACAGCCGTCATATGCTCTTCTAAAGACAGCCGTGCGTCCAGGAGGACACCCAGATTGCGAGCCCTCTCTGTGGGGGGCAAAGATTCACCCCCAATAGTCACCGATGGCACCTGCTGACTATATCGGGACGCCGGCAGCCACAGCCACTCGGTCTTGGACGGGTTGAGTCTGAGCCTATTCCTCCCCATCCAGACCCGCACAGCCTCCAGGCAGCAAGACATCACATCAAGGGCATCGTTGGGGTGGTCTGGGGTGGAGATGTACAGCTGAGTGTCATCAGGGTACAGATGACACTTCACCCCAAAACCACAGATGATCTCACCCAGCGGCTTCACATAAATGTTGAACAGAAGGCGCGAGAGGACCGACCCTTGTGGCACT